GGGGCGCGGGAGGCTTGGGGAAAAGGAGGCTCCTGTCGGGAGGGAGCGGGGTGGCCCCCTTGAGGTGCTCTGTCACCAGTGGACAGCACGGGACATGGGATACTACGCGGCCTGGGAGCCCCTCCCCCCGGAGCCTCTCCCCCGCCAGCCCAGAGCACCAGGATGCCGTGGGGGACACGGGAACAGAAAACTAACGTGGCTCCTTCCCTTCTTTCCCCTCTTCCCTCACTTGGCCCCTCTCCTCCCGGCTCCTCTCTGTCCGTGTCCCTCCCCGCCCCACCTCCTCCCTCTCCCTCCCGGGCCCCCCATCCCTTCTGTGTCCCGCACCTCCTCTGCTTCTGTCCACCTCCTCTGCTTCTGTCCCGGTGCCCAGCCCGGGCAGCCCTCTGCCTCACGTGGGGGCTGCCCTCACAGTCACCACCCACCCCCACATCAGCATCAAGTCGGAGCCGGTGTCCCCTAGCCGCGAGCGCAGCCCTGCGCCGCCCCCTCCAGCTGTGTTCCCAGCGGCCGCCCGCCCGGAGCCTGGCGATGGCCTCAGCAGCCCGGCCAGCAGCTCCTACGAGACCGGGGACCGGGACGACGGACGGGGGGACTTCGGGCCCACGCTGGGCCTGCTGCGCCCAGCCCAGGAGCCCGAGGCTGAGGGCCCTGCTGTGAAGAGGATGCGGCTCGACACCTGGGTACTGTAGCGTCACCCCTCCCGCCCGCCAGTGTGTGCTGCACCCCGGGACCACCCTCACCCCGAGCCCCCACCCGGGAGGCCTCTGGGCCACCTCCGCACCCCCCCCGCCCCCCGCTGCAGGCCCTGGCCCTGTGGGGAGAGGGGCGTGGGGGACGCCCAGCCCGCGGCCAGGGCCCTGACACCCCGCTCTCCATCTCCTCTCTCTGCAGACATTAAAGTGACGATTCCCAGCCCCCTCCTCTCAGCCTCCCTGACGAAGAGTTGACAATCTCACCGCCCACCCCTCCCGGCCCTGGGCTCCTCCCGCTCGACCCCCACTTCCTTTTGTGCTCCGTGTCCTGTTGACGGTTACATTTGTGTATAATTATTATATTATTATTATTATTATTATATTTTTTTTAATTTGGATTCTCGCTTTGGAGAGGAGGATGCTCCTGTCCCCTCTTTCTGCACCCCCCGCCATTTTACTGGCTGGGGGGGCTCTTTTTTGCGGGAAGGGGGACACTTTGCACGTTGTACACATATGCTGCAGGAGGGGGTGGGGAGCCCGACAGGCCCTTGGGACAGGACGGGTGCCGAGCCCTGCATGCGGAGCCCTCCCACCCCACCCCCAGATAGAGGGAGATAACCAAAAAACCTACCAGGCCACAAAACCCCTTATAATATACTGAAACCCCAAAGTCGGCCTGATGGGTGGGTTTGTGTTTCAGGGGGCAAGTGAGCCCAGGTTCTGAAAAGGGTCTCTGCGTCTGGGCTATTCCCGTGGCCACAGGCACATGGGGTGAAATGCCCAAGCTTGGCCCCCCAGTGCCCCTGCACACACACAACACTCTCACGGGTTCATGCATGAGCTGCACCCCCAAGGTGTGGGGGTGCTGGCCGAGCCTCTGGGCTGGGAAGGCTGCCTGGGATTCGGAGGCCGGGGGCAGGGTTTGAGGTAGGGGGCCCCTCGGAAGCACATTTGGAGAGAAAGACGGAGAGCCATGAGGAGGGGCCGAGAGCCGGGGTGAGGGGTGACTCGGGGCCCCCTTCTGTCCCTGGTAGTTTCTCTAAGATACACAGTGCAATAGCTCCCCGTCCCTGGGCTGACACCAGCCCCCGAAAGCAGGCCACAAAGTGCAGGGAGGACGGCGGGCGGGGGAGGGAACAGCTCAGCAGGACTGGCGCCCCGGCGTCCAGGGGCACATGGGAGTGGGGGCTCTCTCTTCCTTGCACGGACACATCCCCAAAGGAGGGACACTGGGGTGGCGTGAGGGTGGGAGGCCCGCCTGCCTCCTTTCCTCCTGGGCCCTCCCCAGCCCCCTCCCCGCTCCTCCCGCCCGACCCCACCTCCCTGGTCGGCTACCTCCTGCCCCACCACCCCCGGCAGCCCACCTTCCCTCTTGGCTACTGTAACTGTAAATAGCAACCTTTGGAAAACGTTAGCAGTGTAACAGTCCAGGAAACTGTTTTTTTTGTTGTTGTTGTATTGATATGAAATGAGATTCTATTTTTGTCAAAGTATATTGTAATAATAACGACTCAAGCGGCCCGTACTGTACAGATGAGACTCTTCTGCTGTTGTTCTTGCTCCCCGCCCCGCCCCTCTCTGCTGGGACCTCAGGCTGGACCCCAGATCAGACGGGGGGGGCAGGCCCCCAGCCTGCCACCCGGAGGGGGCTGGCCCGAGTGGGCAGGTGGCGTGTGCAGGCGGACAGGGCGTCTGCCCCAGTCCTTCCCCTGCACCCAGCTCCTCTGCCCCAGGGACGCAGCGCTCCCTGGGGGCGTCATCCCAGTAGGACAGCAGACGGTAGACAAGGCCCAGCTTTGCGGTCCTGCCTCTGCGACCCAGCCGCTTGCAGTATCCCGACACTTGACGCAGGGAGGGAACCAGAAGCAGGGGCGTACGTGACCACACGTGCACCTGAGCGTGTTCGTGAGGGCATCCGGTATCTGTGTGTGTGTGTGGGGGCGTGGACGTACCGGTGTGTGTCTCTGAGCCCATCTGGGCCTATCCACGGATCTGTGTGAATCGAGCTCCGAGGGCATGTCCGTGTGTGCACGTGCCTGGCGTTTGCGCAGGGACAGTGGCCGCTGGGCCGCACAGCCCTGGCTTCCAGCTCCACGCCCCTCCAGCTTGGCCCCTGCCCCAGTCCACCCTCCGCTTTGACAGGTTTGGACCACAGTTGGGGGGATCCGGCAGTTGCCCCCTTTGCCTCTCGCTGGGGCCCTGCCTCTCCTGGGCTCCACACACAAGTGGCCACCCGATCTCCGGTCCTTTGCACACATGCAGCTGCCCTTCCTGCTCTTCCCCCACCCCAGTCCTGCTTTCAGGGTGACACTCATGATTCTCTTCCTTCTTGAAGCTTCTTCTTTGGGCCGTGATCCTTCCTTACTCAGAGTTTAAGCCCCACCTGCTGATTGGGCACACAGCATGTCCCAACCTACTCCGTGGGTTCCTAGAGGGAGTTTGAAGAGTCGACGAGACTCGATCAGGGCCTCGAAGTACGCCAGGGTATAGGCTTGCGCATGCATGCATCCCCAGAGCCTTGCCCAGTGTCTGGCACGTAGTTGTTGCACAGTAAATGCCGAATGGGTGAGCGATAGGTGCTCAATAAAGCTCGAGTGACTGGCTTTCCCTTCTCAGGCTGTTCCTGGCAGCAGTCCGCCCACCTTTGGAAGCTGGGCTTGGCCGCCACTAGACACACGGTGGGGACGAGAGCCCCTGCGGTTCACGGTGCAATATTCACCAGTTTTGCCCTCTGCCTTGTAATGGCAAACCTGGCTTTTGATTACCGTGTGTGTGTGTGTGTGTGTGTGTGTGTGTGTGTGTGTGTGTCCGTCCTTCCTCTCTCCCTGGGGGCAGGGGGTGGGTCTGTGAATGAATATGTGACATTTCTGCAATTCAGTATCCCAAGGTTTCTCTTGGGGGTAGGGGCTCCTGGCTGGCCAGACGCATGGGTCCCTGGGAACCCAGACCTCAAGCGGGGGGGGGGGGCTTCATTTCTTCCTCTCGCAAAGCCAAATTTGCCTCCACCTACTCCTTCCTCCTAAGAACTGGGCGTTTGCCAAAGTAATCACTGGAGTCATCCCACGCCCCTCCCTTCCCCAGCCTTCCCACAGCTTCCAGGGACAGTGGGCAAGAGGACCCTCCCATTCCACTGGGACGCACCATTCCCCCCTCCCCAGCAGTGCCCTCGATGCAGCAAGACTGACCCCCGACCTTTACCCAGCCCTCCCCACCTTGGACAGGAAGGAATTAATGCACCTTCTCTTGATTATTTATTTGTTTGGAGAGACAGAAATGATGTAAAAGTGTATCTAGAAATATCTATATCTATATATTTTTAACTGACTCTTTGGAATCCCCTGGGGTGGGGTGGGGGTGAATTTAGGCTTTCATAGAGGAGAGGAGACCTGGAGCCTGGGAACTCTTGTCCTCTCCTCTGCCACCTCTGTCCACCCCCTAAGCGATGGTGGAAGGCGTGGGATTTGTGTGGGGGCAGGGGGCTCGAATGTTCTATGGAGAATCTGGATTCTCTTTGTCTTCCCCATTCAGGTCCCAGAGGGAAGGGGGAGAGGGAGGGAGGCATGGAGGTGCCCCCCCAAACCCGACAATCACCCACACTCCTGGGGCTGCTCCTGGGTCCTGGGCAGGGCGAGTCCAAGTGTGTGGCTGTTGATTTGTTTTCAATATTTCTTTCCGTGCTGTATGGTGATGCTTTCTTAGTATTCTACACAATAAGAAGACAAAGTCCTCGGGATTCTTATGAGTTTTGTTTGAAAACTCTTTCACTATATTTGTTGTAAAGAGGTTTACTATTAAAAGAAAAAGAATACACGTTTCTGATACTTGGGCTCGGGTTCTGGTTTCTTTGGCGCGGCTGGCGGAGGAGAGGACCGGGTGGCCCGAGGGTCCGCTCAGCACGGTGGCGGGGGGTGAGGGGTGCTCCCGGGTCTCAGGTGAGCGGTTCCTCCAGGTGCTGTCAGAAGCAGAGGCCGCCCCACACGGGCCGGGGTTGTCCTGGGGGAAGCCACACGGGGGGTCCTGGAGCGCGAGAGGCAGAGAAGCAGTGCCCTAGGCCAGGTCAGGAGCAGGGTCGTGGGGGACAGGGCTCCAGCCACCATCAAGAACTCGCCGTGGGTCCTGCTGACGCGGGCCGCCCTCTTACCCCTTCAGGGTGCTTTAACGGTGCCAGGGAGCCTCTCCCTGCTCTCCGAGGGCACCCCCGAGGGCCCCCCAACCTGGTGCCGCCCTGCCGGAGGGTCAAACGTGGCGTCTGGCTTGGCCCCAGCAGGGTGCGCACAGGCCGGCGCTGCTGAAGCACAGAGGGACGCGGGGGCGTCTCCAAGTGCGGGAAGTCCCCCCGTGGCGGGGTCGTGCTCACCGCGTCGGGGTCGTGGGGGTCGTGGGGGTCGGCCAGTCCCGGTGCTGGCGCCCCGGCTTCCTGTCTGTACGATGCAGTGATCTGTACTGGCCTCCCTCCCGGGGCCACCGCGGGCCGCACCTCGCTGCTCCCTCAGCTGCGGCAGAGAGAAAGGAGGCGCAGAAGGGCTTCCCCGTCCTCCAGATGCGCCCCCGCCCCGGCTGCCCTGCGCTCGCCCCTTGGAGAGACGGCCTCCGGGTACCCCAGCCTGGCCCTGGCGGGGTCCTCCCTCACACCGATGCGTGGTGGGCACGTGTGTGCAAGGAAGCCCGGCCGGCAGGGCGGAAGGCAGGGCACTTCTGCGGCGGGGTCCCTCTCATCGTTTTGGGGGACGCCAGGGGCCACGCTGTGGCACGGAAGCAGCTCTGAGGAGAGGCCTCCCATCCACAGCCTTCCATAGAGGTCCACGCCTCCCCAGACACGGCCAGGGCGCCCCCACTCGCGGGACGCCCCGGTGCCCGTGAGGCGCCCTGACGCGACACCGAATCCCCAGCAGAACCCCCCTCCCTTGTCCCTCGATCTCTGTCCCTGCTCTGTGTGCTGGGTGGGCGTTACTGTTGCCCACTGGTACCTCTGTCCTCTTCCCCTTCCTGCACGTGCA